CAATACTGTCTGTGGGGTATTTGACTTACAGAGTGCACACTTTGGATGAACGAATCGTTCGATGTGAGCAAATCAAAAAAACAGAGCCAGACGCTGATGTAYATAAAAATCGCTTGCCAAGAGCGGCTAACAATGGCTCGAGAGATCCAACGAGTGCTTGTACCAAATGCAGAGATCTCTGTACGCAAATGTTCTCGTCTGGATCATCCAAAAAGGTATGCGAAATTCTGCATTGTCTTAATATTACTTTTACTTTTTAGATACAATGTAAACGATATCATTTCGTTTATGACTGTGTAAAACAATGCGCCATCAACAAGAACAAAATATTCTGCCAAGCCTTAATATATTGACTCTGAACATGGACCAAGAAGCAAACAGCAACACAATTTCTGTGAAATAACCAAATTTGACAATGATATGAAAACGGATTCGTGAGTTTCCAGACATTTCTAATGAAATCTAATATAGTGTACATATCAAGTGACAGACTCGCCAAATTTGTGACCTCTATGAGTGAATAAACCGAAGGCAGGGTGCATTAATAGAACTGCTATTTATCTCATAGTTAAAATCGTCAAAACCATCAAGTAAACCAGTTTGTGTCAGAGGTATGAAATTTCCTTCAATATTCCAGCAGCCTGTTTACTGATTTTATTTGTGAAGAGAAAATTTCCATTTGATAATTTAAGGTCCGCCCGGAGCACCGGGTCCACAAGGGCCGAAAGGACCAAGCGGACAAAGGGGACGACGTGGTAAACGAGGCTTTCGAGGATCTCCTGGAATACAAGGTCCACCTGGACTACCAGGTCCGCAGGGACCGAGGGGAGTGCAAGGAAGAGCGCTCTCTGGAAAATCTTCATCGATAATCCATTCCCTTGGTGGGTATTTGAGAAGAACAAAACCTAAATCAACACGAACTATTCAATAGTAAATAAAATGTAAAATATACAAGCTCATGTACTTTTTAATTTTTTTGAAAGCTCTTCCAAAAATAACAAAAAGACCTCCATCTGTTCTTGTCACCAAAGAAGGCGATATTGTGGTCATTCCGTCTAAAGCCTCTGGTTTTCCTAATCCGAAAATCTCGTGGTACAAAGACAACAAGAAAGTAGACGAGCGATTCTATGCAACTGGTGCTCTACGAATAAGCAATGTCAAGTTCGAAGACCACGGGGTTTACGTATTGAAAGCAAAGAATTTCATTGGTCAAGCAACAGCGAAAATGAAACTTGTTGTAAATGGTAATCTCAATCAGAAAACATTATAGACTATTTTTGATTAGCTTTAAAGAAATGGTTTATGCTCAGGCAAATGAGTACTACACATTTCAGTTAATCGCATATTCGAGATTCGTTTGAAGGCTTCATTTTTCATAACATATTTTATAAGAGTCTGCCCTAACCGCCCTGAATGATGGATAGTTATTAACATGAAAGTTTTACCCATAGTTCCTCCACAATTCGTAGTTCAGCCTCCAGTTTACCTCGCTGGCTATGAAAACTGGAACACAACCATCACATGCAATATATTTGGGTTTCCTGCTCCGCAGATCGAGTGGACACGAGCATTGCAAGCCATGCCTAAAGGACGACATGCAAAGATTGGTAACCGACTTGTTATCATGAATACAAAAAGAGAGGATAAGGGACCTTACATGTGCAAGGGAATTAATAACCAAGGGAATGTACTAGCTTTGGTAGTGCTTAATTTCTATCCTGTCAGTAAGTAGCAATTGGATGTCTTTATCAANATAGCCCTATTGAGCTGTGGCGATCCTGGAAAACCCCTACATAGCTATCGCACTGGCAATGAGTTCTGGGCTGGAAATATGGTATTTTATACTTGTGATCCTGGTTACTACTTGGTAGGAGCATCCATCCGACTTTGTCTGGAAAATGGTGCATGGAGCAACTTTATTCCATCGTGTAGGTGTTTTTTTCCTTTCTTCTTTCTTACAAATTTCACATTACACATTTACATTCAGGAGACATAACAGATGTCGATTTATCCAACTAACTCGATATGACATTTCTCCAGGTACAACAACTTTTTGCAGCATATAACTGTTCATATACCCTAGTTTTTCATTAAAACACAGAAGGTGGGAAATAATGAGAAACATATATTATATAATATAATTATGTTAGGAATAAGAATTCTTTTCCTTAAAGTTACACTTCAATTTAGATGATTGAAAGAAACGGATAGAGAGAGATGTTTAGGACGAGCACCACAATGCGCTTTTAGGCTTAATTTTAACTTTAATTTTTGAAAAAAGCTCCGGTGTTTCTCTTTTTTATTGTTCTATTTTTAATTTTTTGTGAACTGTTTGTGACGTTTTTTTTTTTGTTATGAACTGCTGCTCATTCTTGCAGCCAGTTCTTATACACTATACCCGTGATTTGACGTGTTTACTTAGATATTTAAACAAGACAAGAACTAATTCTAAATAGAATATATATTATATGAAAAGAATTTTTTTTCCTTACAATTTTGTTTGTTTGATCTATAGTCCTTAGTCCACAGTTCAATCTCACAGCTTTTACTTGCCGGCCTTCTGTATTCAATATACTCTGTACTTTGTACGCTCTTAAAAAAGAATCGCTTAAAAGCGATCGAGTCGAGAATCGAACCCGCGATTCTAAGTTCGATGCTATTTGAGTATGATAGTCTGTGAAAAATCAAAATAACGGCTCGAAAATAATTGTTAAAGGAATATCTACACAAAAATCAACATGACTATAACAACTTCATTTCAGTTAAAAAGAAAGAAATAAAGGAAAATAATGAATCGAGAATCAAKGCCGCGATCCTAAGCTCGACGCTATACGCGATTTGCATCATGGCGTCGTTAACTACAACTACCAGAATGCTTTGCCCACAATTATTGCCAATTGTTTTACTAATCGCTAAGTGGATTAAAAATCTGAATAACAATGAAAATGCGCAAGTCTCTCTGGTAGCTGTAGTAAAGTTGCGCCATCATGCAAATGGCCTATTCGAGTATAATATTCTGTGTAAAATCAAAACAATCGCTAGAAAATAATTATTAAAAAAACAAAATGTACAGAAAATCAAGATGCCTATAACAACTAAATTTTATTAAAAAAAAAGAAAGAAAGTTAAAAAAAGTTCTCGAGACGAGATTCGAAACTGCGATCCTATGTTCGATGCCGCTGTTCGAGTATCATCTTCTTTCAAAAATTTAACAAACGCGGCTCGTAAATATTAATAAAACAAATACACCATTTCGCGGATAATTCGAAATATTACATTACGTCGTTATCATTGACATCACTGGAAAGAGCTTCATAAAATCAGCAAATCTGCCAAGTTTGAAAATAATCTGATTTAAATTCAAAGAGATACGGCACTTCAAAAACACTAAATTTTGCATAGAAATGTTTGGCGAGGTTGTAACAAGTCAAGGTCAACCTCGATCTCATGCCGACAGCCATACATTTCTTTGTAAATTTTGCCGACTTTTAAACGCTGTATCTCCTTGA